ACTTAATTATGTACTTTAGACATTCACAGAATTTACTAAATATCTAGTTTGTTTATAAACACAGTTACTATTTATTAATTTTTTTAATAATTTATTCTTTCATTTAAAATTTTGATTGATTATATGATTTACACCACACCAACATTTTTATGTTTTATATATATGAGCACTATACAGGGTGGGCCATCGAAAATGAAATGGCAGAGTTATCGTGTTCGTCCGAGCAAATCGCTCGGACAGGTCAATATATGCTCCTATATGCTCCGAAATCATTCGACCAATTGCTACAAAACTCTGCAGTTATGTTTGCATACTTCTAACTTGGGGTGTGTTTACTTCTGAGCTAATTTTACTGTCAGCACGCTCAGCCTGTATACTTTTATCCGAGCGCCATGCTTATTGGCATTTACTTTAGAGCTATGTGACGTCATGTTTAGCAAAATTGGTAAGCTTGGAGTCCTAGCAAGTTCATTGTCGAGCTTTGCACTAATTCAATATGGCTGCTCTCATGAAAAAATTACTTTCTGTACAAAGTAATAAAAATGGAATTAGTTTTGGAAAAATAAATGGCAGAAAGCATTTTTATTGGTAAATTTTAATTATTTGTTGTGTAAAATGTTTACAATGATCTTTTTTTTCATTGTAAGGTTCAATAGCTTTAGATGACTTTTTTTCATAAACAGAGTTAGTTAATGTGAAAAAAATTAAGTTTGATTCATTGTTTATGATTAAAAGTGAGGTTTACCTTATACGTGTTTGGAATCTTCNCATATTCTACACCAATCATTTTTGGTTCTTTACCTATGAAATATAATAAACATTTATAATATAAAAATAATAATAAAAAATTGTTAGTTTAATTGAGATCAACCAAAATTTATTTTGTCTATATGCTATGTACAAAATGGCACATTACATAAGGACAAAATGACATATATGTAAAAACTATAAAATTACTGACTAAAGTTTACAAATGAAGCATTTGGTTCTTTTAGGAACATCTGTGCAAGAAGCGTGAGCCCAACGCAAACAATTTAAGCACCATAACCAGTCTTCTCCAGGCTTAGATTGGGAAAAAAGATCATTGCAATATATGCATGGACAGTCCTCTTCATCATCTAGAGAGTTATCAGGAAAACTTTCTTCTTCACTGTCCATGTCAAGTATCTTTAGTAACGTTTTGTCTCCTTTTCTCTGGCGGAGCTTTGGGCTCATTTTTTGATTTAATTGCCTTCATATTAGGAGTAGAAGTTAAAACTAAAGAGGTTTATCAAATCTTTGTCTTATGTTTTCCTTGACCACTTATAAAACGTCCTGTTGGAACTGGAGAAATCTCCTCATTAGACACAGCAAGAGTAGAGGACGGTGGATGTTCTTTAGTAGCGGCAGATGAATGATATTGAATTGAATGAGTTAAAAAAGTTCTTGCTCAGTGTTTGCTGATGGAACCTTAGATGTATTATTGGCTTGTTGTTCGGTAGATACTGTTATTTCAGCTGTATTATTGTCGTTAGGTGTGATGGCATGGGATCTCTGTAGCTGATATTGAGGTTAAGATAAGTTCCTTGACTGAGCTCTTATGGACTAAATGACATATCTATGTCATTATGTCCGTTATTTATGTATGTCGTTTTGTCCATATAACATTATAAAAAACAAAATTATAAAATAAATACAAAGATGATATTTTTAATGGAAAAAGTTATTTAAGTGCAACAATAAATTCTTGAGGGTTGAAATAAATGCTACACAAATAGATAAAATAGTGAAAAACATACCATCTATACAAAAAACTTGTTGCAAGGAAAAACTCGTAACGTATCAACACTTGTCGTTGGCCGTGACACCCGGGCAAATGAGAGGAGTGCGTTCATGTTTCGACGGGTTAGTAAAAGCTGCTCGGATAATGTGGTGTCATGGTCAGTTGCACGCTTGAGGCTGACAAATTCGAATTATGTTGTCTATGTTATTTTGTATGTATTTCCCCTATTTGTTAATTCTGAACTCAGTTTAGTTACATCACAAAAGAACATCACATCCATTCACTGGGTAAAACAATTTCTTTAAATATGTATTATAAATATTATATGTATGTATTTATATGTATGTATGCTTTAAATATGTATTATAAATATTATATGTATGTATAATCTACTGTTCTCTTATATACTGGTACTGCATCTAATTTCATATATTACTTCGTATAAACAAACCTGAATGATTCTTGATTTGCTAATGTCCATAGGCAGCATAAAAGCTGCTTTTGAGGAGACACAGGTAGTTTTCCAGAGGAAGTAATTTTTCTGTGTCTATAATTGGGCTTATTTTTTAGAGGAGAATTTCAAAACATTCTCTTGTAAGTCTAAGGTTGTTTAAAATCGGTTGGCTTATAAAAAGGTAGAGTCTCTTCAATAAAAGTTTCTATCTTTTTTATTTGACCTTACTTTTCTTTTTTTCTTTATTCATTTTTTCTACAATTATATCCACAATAAAATCATCCTTGTCTGATTCAGAATCGAGTAGTTCTATCTGTAATGTAACATCTAAAATAGCAGCTTTGACAATATTATTTTCCAGAAAACCGTCATATTTCTTGTTAGTGTTCGTGTTTACTTTCGAACTGGACATGTAAGCATGAATACACATGCTAATGACGTCACTTCTGGTGTTCAGAAGTACACTATTAGCTCAGAAGTAAATGCACTCTTGGACAATGTTGTACATACCTCCCAAAATATATTCTATAAATCAATTCATTTCTATGTGTATTCAGTTTGCTGGCTTTATATGTAGTGCCATCTATTTGCAAAAATTTAAGAAAATAACAAACTAAATATAATTTTTACAAAAAAAGATAATTTTTTAAAATATATATATTATATTATATTCACTTTATTACTGTGACAGGTAGCATAATAGCACTTACCTGCATGGAATCAAAAGTGTTACTCTGTGAAAAATCTATAAGTATTTAATTTTCCACATCTAATAATTCAGGTTTTTTTATTTCTGAATGGTTCTTTCTTAATTTTAATAAGCACCCTCCAGTAACTGAGTGGCCAAAAAGCCCCAGCCATCATATTGGACAAACTATGAGGCATGTTTTTTAAGTGAGTACTGTTTTGATATTAAAAAAAACACACAACACAAGTGCAGTTTTTTTAACAATTTTATTTATACATGAAAGCCTGTACCTTAAGGGGTTAATTTAATTAATCTACTTTTCAACATAATTTCCTCCAATATTAAGACACTTATATCCTACAACTAGCTTCTGAATTCCATCCTCATAGAAACCTGGTGCCTGATTTGTCGACTACTGCAGCACAGCTGGCTGCCTAGATCTTTTTCAAGTGGAGAAACAAGTGCTTCTATATAGCCCTGATCTAGCACCTAGTGTTAGATCAGGGCTATACAGAGGGTGATCAAGTTGTTTCCAGCCATATGATGTAATTGGGTTGAGCCATGTGTGGGCAGGCATTGTTATGAAGCAAAACAATTCCCTTACTGAGCTTGCCACACCTTTTGTTTTGGATTGCACGACGCAGTCTAGTTAAGGTGTCACAATATGTCTCACCATTTATTGTGTTATTCTGAGGCAAAAAATCCACCAGCAACACCCCCTGCCTATCTCAAAACACAGTGCACATGATTTTGCAGGCTGAAATTGTTTGCTTGAACATGACTTTCTTGGGTGATGTTAAATGCCTCCATTTCATGGATTGCTGTTTGCATTCTGGTGTAACATGAGCCACCCATGTTTCATCACCAGTGACAATTTGGCTTTAAACCTCATCATCTTCATCACTATGTCGTTCAAGGAAAGTCAAAGTACTGGCTAAACATTTGGTTTAGTGCACCTCTGCCAGCATTTTGAGTATTCATCATGAGCACAACTTCTGGTAATTTAAGTGTTTTGTATTAATGCATAAAGAACACTCCTTGAAACTTGAGAAATGTTATTGTAAGATAATGATGAAATTGTAAAGAGTCTGTTTTCTTGAACTTTTGGATCAACTTTCTGCGCCATGTCTTCAGAAATAACAGACAGTTGCTCACTACATTCTTTATCATGGACATTAGTATGGCCATCTTTATATGCTCTAACCCATTTTCTTACCATTCCATCACTCATAATGTTTTTTCCATATACTTCACTAATCTGTGATAAATGTCAGCCACTTTCGCGTCTTCTGCGTTAAGAAAACAAATCACTACACATTCTTCACAATCGGCAGAATTTTCAATTATCTGAGGCATTTTAAACACACACAAACAAACATTAAAAAAAGCAAATGTTTTCTTAATGGCATATGTGGCTAGCCAACAGATGTGGGTACTCAGTGCACATTTGCAGAACACCGACTGCAATGCTGCAGTGACCCTAATTTAAAATGGTACTTACAAAAAACACACCTTGTACAACTTAATGTTCTCTCATCTAGTTATCTGTCATTTTCCTCCATGTGACAGAATGGACACCACTGTCTAAATAATTGCATTGTAAAGAATATAATAATAATGTGTTTGTTTTAATATAATTTTATATATATAAACATGTAAGTGTAATTATAAATTCGATTGTATAATTAGAAAACAGTTACAATTAAAAAGTCATTACAGGGTGCCAATGAACAGCTTGATGAGTTTAAACCTTTACTTTTGGTGTAGATTGATACTCGAATTGTTCAGTTTTTTTCATTATTTAAGTAGGATCATTCAATTCACACTATAGGAAAAAAATCATTATCATCAAATCATATGATATAAAGGTTATATGAGAAATAAGTTTGACTTTGTTGTGGGAATATGCAGTTAAATTGGAAATATTGGATAAGTAATTTGATTGAAAATAGAAATTCTTTTAATACTGTAAAATAACTTTTTGATTGTAAATGTGAGAAATAAAAGTGATATATTTATAAATATAAAGTTTAATTTGATTTTTATCATTTATTTTAAATGTTTTTGTATTTTCATTTGTAACATTTTACTGTTTTGTTTTAATAAATCATTAGGTGTGGATAATGAATATGATACAGCAATGGAAGAAATTGAAGAAACTAAAAGTGAATTTGATTCTTATTTAAGAATACAAAAAAATATATTCAATTGCAAAGTACAGTAATACAATTTTCTATACTCTGACTAGATAATTAATTACTACAGAAGTACTATATAATTGATTTTAATAATTTCATATTTTGAATGAGTTAATCTGCTTTTTTTTTATTATATAATTACTGAACAATATAATAAAAAAGTTAGCCATTGTAGTTTATAAATATGTATGATTTGTGTGTTTTATGAAAGTATTTAAGGAAAATTCAACACCTTTACAAGTCTAGAAAAATTTTAATGCATAATGGCATTTTCAGTGGTTTTAAATACCATCTTCAGGCAATAACAACATAAGTTGTAATGAGAAAAATTCAGGGTGCATAGGAAAGTCCCTTTAACTGGAAAATTCTTGAAGAACAAAGAAAACCAGTATTCTATTGAACTAATACTATGTGCTTATTTATTTATGCTTTAATGTAATTTTATTAGTTTATGCTATTACAATGCTTGATTATCTTGAATTCTTTATAATTTGGTATTTTCTATATTTTGTAAATGTTAATTTTCTAAAATTTTTATAATGTTCTATTCTTTTTTGCTCATTACTACTAATGTTATTGCCTGAAGATTATTTAAAATAACCAAAAACATTAATGTGTGTTAAAACTTTGCTGGGCTTATTAAGGTATTGAATTTTTCTTCTATACTTATTCAGTTTTATCTACTTGATAGTATTTAATTTAATAATTTTAAATAAAATGATAAACTGTTTCTATAATTATGAATTTTATATTCTTTTATCATTCATATATGCATTTAATTCATTACAGGTTACGTATTTTGGTAGTGGTCGGAATCGTTATCAGTTAGAGGTTCCAGAAAATGCAACCAAGTACGTAACTGATGAATATGACTTACAGACACAGAGGAAAGGATTCAAACGTTATTGGACTCCGACAATAAAAAGTTTATTAGCAAAACTAATATCTGCCGAAGAACACAGAAATGCAGCATTAAAAGATATCATGAGAAGAATATTCTCTGCCTTTGATTCTGGGTAATATATTATTTTCTGTAATTACAGGTTTTTACTATCTGAAAGTAGTGTTACTTTGAAAATTTTTCATAAGTCAAAATGATATAAAGCAAAGAAGCAATTACCATTAATTTATATGAGAAAAATTTTTGAGTGTTCTCAAAATCAAAATTACATAACTAAATCATACTAAATTTTACTAAGAGATAGTAAAAGCTGGAATAATATGATAAGTGCATAATCTGTATAAAGTAGAAATGTAAGTAAAGTGTAGTTACTGAAACTATATCAGAAGTCTACTGTCTCTAGTAAGCAACATTTAAGCTGTGAAATTATTCTCATCTTAAAACTGATCAAAACCATTCATGACTTCCTTTAAATTCCACTTTTTCAATACTTCCATCACCATTGTCCATTCTTTCTGTTTCAGCTTATCAAAAACTGGCTGATTTCTTAAGTAAAAGCAACTTAATAGAATGCCATGCTTTGTACACCCATCAGTTTATTCAAGCAATAGACTTTCCACTTTATCATTGTATTTTTGCTAACAGATGCACAAAATAAATTGACATAAAGCACAGATACTCATGGACACAATT